CATCTATTTTTATATCTATATATATATAAATCACAGATTTTAACTTCTTAATTCCAAGCTCAGGGTTGACACACCTTTGTAACAAAAACGTTTTGTCAACCAGCTCTTCTTGTTTTGCGCTGCTCCGAGAAGGGATTTCTCAATGATCTGTGAGCACCAAAAACCAAGAAAGAGAGACTTTTGCGTATCTAACTGTCCATTTATTAAATGTTTGCCAGGGCACACCCATTTTGCATGAGCGTGCTTTGTCCTGGATGCTCCAGATTGTACTGAACCCATGGGAAGAGCCATGGGGTGCAGGACTCTACCTGTATGCATAAAGAATGTGTTATTCACACCAAACCATTGTTTTCATACACAACGCTGTTCCCGGAGTGGTTTCATTGCTTGAACAATGAACACATCTTCGACCTAGGACTCTTGCTTGGCACTTGATTAAATGACTTGACTTAGACTAACAACCAATTCCTAAGCATGCCAGTGCCTGGTCCTATGCTCCCCCCTGACACAGAGAAACAAAATAAACTAGTCTGGGGCTTTATGAATACAGTTGGTTATCCACATGTTTCTTGGTTTTTATGATGCATCTGGACTTGGGAAAAGTGATATTTCAAAGCACCATAGTATGCCAGTCACATTTTAATTAACCCATTGGCAGTAACGACATGTAAATGGTATTTTGGACCTCCGTTCTCATACAAAATTATAATTAGTTATTGATTTAGTCATCACATTTAAGTAGAATACATGTGGCACAATAGTATTAAGTATATTTGAGCACTTTTACAAAACAAAGTATTTACAAGCATCTATTACTATTTTATGCCTAATGAAATATGAATATGTAGGATTTCGAGAGACTTTGTGGCATCCTTTCATTTAAAATCTTCATGGAATTAATACTTCTTCTAATTCAGCATTACATACTTAAAGAAAACCAGACACTTCACTGACAAACTTCACTTTGCTATCACCAATTAACATACACAACACCTTTATGCAACACTATTCATATATGTTGCTTGTTTCAGTGTATGTTCCAAACTCTTTATTGCCTTTCTCCAATAATTAAGGTGCAATACAAATTAAGTCAACCGTGATTTTCCAATTTGAGTAATAACTTCTTTTTATGGCTTTAAACTCCAAGTCTTTATTATTATTATTATTTTATTTCTTCATTGTCTTCTACGACACAGATCAGAATGCCTTTTTCCCCTTTACTTTTTTGTGTATGTGTATGAATACACAAAGATTAATGAATGTGAATCCATGTTCTGTACACACTAAACTTACAGACAACATACAAGCGCCTGCTTCATTTGTTTCAACATCTTCATTATAACCGTTATTTCTGGTGATGAGATCGAGTGATCCGGATCAGCCGGGCAAAGAGCTGAAATGACTATCAGTTAGCGATGACACAGTATTAGTCACCATGCATGGATATGATCAACACATTATTCAAGTTGTACTTCCTCGTTTTTATCATCATTCTAATATGTCATAAGATTTTTTTCAGGCTAATTTAACATGAAGATTTGTGGGGGAAGTCTCAAAGGAAATTAGTTTACTCTAGTGACCCCATTTCAGTAAGTGTTTTGGACTCCTCTCTCCTAAGTTAATTTCTCTCCTTTTAAGGAAATCACCTAGTGATAGGGGGATGCAATGATATCTGTGATGGTCCGAGATCTGCTGTCATTCACTCTAACGTCATCTAAATATTGCAATCACATCATAATCTCGTTATAAATAGAGAGAGATGGGCTCACTGAAATCGGACACTAGAAATTGGTGGGTGATGCTCATAACTGCAAACACTTAGCTTATTGAAGTGCCTCTATTTACATGTTCTTTAGTTATAATATGTATTTTTCTAACAGAAATACACATCTGTAATTGGTGTATATTATACTTTGTATATGTTTTAACAAAAACTAAACAGAAGCTAAAGTCTTTAGCAGAGAAGAATGAATTGCAAATTCACAAACTGGAGCTCTGCCTATGGTTCTGTGTTGAAGGGCAGCCATGACAACCTTCTGTCATTTTCATGAAGGTCAAGTTGGTACTTTGTTTATAGCCATTATAGAATGTTCGTACTAGCTATCTGACTCCCTTACTGTAACTTACCCAGCTAGGATAAGTTATAACTTATGTCAGCTGCTTTGAATGGAAGGGATAGAAAATACTATTTGTCTACACTGAAAAGCTCTGTTATTCCTTGGCAAGCAGTAGTAACTTTACAAGTGTAACATTCTTAAAATCAAACATATTAAAACTATTATTGGAAGCAAACTCTGATATTTAATTTTTAAAATATTTTCATTCACCTTTTAAAATGGATACTTACTGCTGCAGACATTTACCTACTTAATTCTTTAGCCATTACATTTATGTTTTGGCTACAGACTGAGCATTAACTAAAGTCCTCTAGGTGAAATAAAAATGAGCAAATTCCTGAGTTGTGATTATTCAGTTGCTTCTCTTTGCAAGGCAAATTATCAAGTGGTTGGTTTAGAGATGAAAATATTAGCAAATGCAAATTTTTACTTGTATAAAATTTGCAGAAATTCAAACCTGTTTTCACTTACTTATCATCACTAACAGATCTGACTTTTAACTTTGGGGGGCGGGGAGCAATTTAGCTTTGCCAATGTAAGAGTAAAGGAGACCACAACTTCTAAATTTGCAATGTATTCTGCCTTGTTGGAGACATTAGCCAGTGTTTAGTTCTAGGCCAAGTTATACAAATAGAGTATTGATTTGTATGCATTCTGGAACCTTGCTACAACTTGGTATGCTTCAGCACTGGTTCTCAGCTTCCCAGAGACTATGTTGAACCTCATTCAGAGTTGAGGTGTTAACCGGCATTTTTACATTGCCTTGTAACAAGATAGTTCCATGAGAAGAGACCTAAGGACAATCTAATAGTGAGGCTTCTGTGTGCATATACCTAATATATATGCAGAATAAATGTGTGCACCAATCAATCCTATCTGACTGTCAAATGAATATTATTTGGGTTACGATTTTTCATTTCTGATTTGGATAGAAAATTGCTATTAATCTTGTATTAAAATAGTTTTTAAAAATCTACCAATCCCTTCTGCATTTTCTTAATCCTTGTCATAGTCTAAATTTCAGATCGTTTGATCATTTGATACCTTTTCAGAAACTACATTATTAAAATAAGACTATCCATACCAGAGATTAGACCAGCAATACTCAATTAAATGGAGTCCTGGGGTGGCACTGTGGATTAATGTGCCAGACTGCAAAGCCGTTTGAACTGTAAGGTCAGTAGTTCAAGCTCACCAGCTGCTCCTTGGAAACCCTATACAGGGTCACTATGGGTCGGAACCGACTCGACGGCACTTAACAACAACAACATCTCACTTAAATACTCAGCATTTGAAATCATGAACTTTCATGCTTCAGAAAATTTAGAGTTTTCCAATGTATATGAAAAAATACCACATCTCTCTTCTGTATTATATTATTTTCTAAGATAAAATTTAGTGGCCTGAGACATTTATTTACTTTGTATATAAGGTCAGAAGAAAATTAAGTGTGAACGTTATAATTTCCACCGTCAGTAAATTGCATGTCTGAAAACTTTCCATGTTCTCAGGCATACTAAGTGTTCTATATCGTGGGAGAGATTCATCTAGCAGATACTTACTGAGTTCCTAACATTGACTCTGACTCGGCACCCCTGTATGTGTCAGGGAAGAACTGTACTCTGTAGTGTTTCCAATGACTGCTGTTTCACAAGTAGATCACCTACCAGGCTCCA